ACGCATGCCTCATAGCGTCACCTCTAAACACGCATGCGCGACACAGTATCACAACAACAATGGCGCCGTACTGTGTTGAATGGTTGCTGCTCATGCTACTCACCCTGCTGTTGGGCTTACAACAGAATCTTCTTCTTCTGGAATATCTCCAGGAAGAACAGAGCAATAAAGACGACATAGTTCAGCACCTCAATTTGACTGAACCACGAAAATGGACCCGCAGGGCAAACATGTATAAATTTTAGTGCGCATTCCCAACATTTCGTCGCCTATTTTTGCTTTGGCACGACAGCGCCACTTACAGGCCTGGCATACATTTTGCAGCGTTTTCATGTATTCGTGTGGACGATCACATTTATTTTACGTCTCCGTCTTTACGACAAACGTTCTGGAAAATATTAGCATTTCGTGTTCGTTTTGACTTTGTGTGGAAGGGGCCTAAATGGCCAAATGTGATTGCTGGTCTGTCTTCTCACACAATATGAACTTTGAATGATTTTGCATTCCTAATTCATACTGTTACATATGTTGTTTTGCAACTGTTATGGCTATAAAAACTTGAACTTTAGGAAATTAGGTCAGGCAGAGAAACACTAGCTGGAAAATTTCTGGTGAGACATTTAGATGTTAGAATCTGACAAATAACTGTAAAGACTGAGGTGTGATAACTAGGTTAGGAAACAGGTACCTGTAGTTACACTGAGACCTGGCACCGGAGAAGGCAACAGTGCAAACTAAAGGTAGAGGATATGACAGGAGCAGCCATGGAAGGATCAAAATCTAAGCAAAACAAGTTGGTACCAAGAGTGCAAAGAGCTAAACAACTAAGAACAAAAGAAACAGCAACAGAATAACTCAAGTGTTTACGAAGATAAGAAATAAACATAAAATGAAAAAAAAAAAACCACACAAAAAAAAGGATAAATATACACGAGTGAACAAATGTCCTTGAGCTCATGATTTTTCTTTTTAATAACTAATCACTGCAGGTGATTCTGGCGAAAAAAAAAAAAAAAAAAGAATAACTTTGTGAACAGAGCACCTCCAGCCCACTATTAATTATTGCGGAGGATGTGTGACGCTTTGGGCCTGTTTCTCTTTCAAAAGCCTTAGAAATGTTGATAGAATGCATGGCCACCCACTTCGGCTGCAAAGCAAAGCAGCCCGCTGATCGGAGGATGTGGAGATGGTTGGAGGGTATAAAGTGTGTTTTATCTGGTAAAAGGGGATATAAAATATCTGCTCAGTTCATCTTTTTTTTGGGATAGTTTTCAATGTTTTCTACTGTCACAACCAGTAATAACAGGTCTTGGTAATTGTTGCTATAAAAAGCTTATATGCTAAGTGAAGCAATGCCTTTACGGGTATTTTAGTTGTTGCAATACTTAAGGTCGTATTTCACGTTTCTTATTAAATGCATTAACATTGCAAACACTGCAGATCAACTTAGTGAGCTTTACAGCTGCAGTGCACTGATGAAAAAAAAAACATTAATCAAACCAGTGCAAATCCTTGGTTTATCATGAGGCTGGGTTAGATGAATTCATAGTCTTCTACCTTTAAACTCTGTTGTGTATAAAGATGCAAGGAGATAATAAAGTGGCAGCATTTCCAAGCTCATCGTCCCTGAACTTATTAGGGTTTAGATATGACTTTAAAAAAATCTATATCTAATTATTTTTTGTGTTAGTTTCTTGGTCATCTGCTGCTTTCTGCACGTCAGTGAGGAGTGTATGTGTAGAAATTCAGAAAGTGAACCACTTTATAAAGGAATCATCCCATCCTCTCTGTCATTCACCTGTGCTTGCAACATCAGGGAGAAAAGAGAACTCACACACAGATACTATCCCTGAACTTCATCTTAGCATTCGTTGTCCAGCCTTTGGCATCGGCAGCCCTTGACATCCTTGACATAGTCAGACTAGAACTCCCCCAATCTCCTCTGTCTGAGCACCTGGTTCCCTCAAGGCTGTTTCCACGGCCCACTACTGTTCACCCTGATGACACATGGTTGCTCCCTCAGGTCTGCTGCAAACTACTTTGTAAGATTTGTGGAAAACAGTAGTGGATTTTATTTAAGGTGATGATGAGACGCCCTACAGAGAGGAGGTGCAAAACAAGCAGCCTCATACCTGAATGTTAAAAAGATCAAGAAGATCATTGTTCACTTCATGAGAAGCAATCTCTGTCACACACATCTTCTAATTGACAGTGCAGCAGTGGAGAGGGTCAGCACCTCAGAGCTTCTGAGGAAGGTATATAACTGACACCCTGACCTTAACCCATCATCAGGAGGAAGTTCTGGCAAAGAAAGCTCATTTAATAAGTAATTTTACTGTGCTGGGTGAAAAAGGGGCATCTGTCCGTCTTCTGTTCTCACCACCTTCCACAGGAGAACCATAGAGAACAACCTGAGCACCTGTAACTCTGTCTGGTTGGGAGCCTGCCATGTCTCTGAATACAGAACCCTTCAGAGAGTGGTTAGGAGAAGGGAAGAAATTATTGAAGTTGGTAAAAAGTATGCTGCCTCAAGTCCATAATATTACCAAGGACACCCCAAACCAAACACTGTTCTTGCTTCTAGATTCTGGAAAAGACTAAACAGTCTGTGGAGCAGAACAGTCAGCAGCAGCATGTTCCTTCACAGCTTGCTGAACTCAAACAAACCCCCAGGGATGGACATTTTCAGTTCTAATTTAGCTCATTTCTGTATGCAACGTTATTCTGGCCTTTTTCTTCACCATTTCTAAACCTTTGTAATGAAATTTCAGCTAGATATGTATTTAATGATTCAAATATAACCAAGAAGATACATCCATCTACAGTGGAGTGCCAAAACCTTGTTAAAAAGCAGCTACTTTCAAACAGGTTTTCTTTTTGCCCACAATAAACCTGTAGTCAAATTGGATCCAAAGTTTGTTTTTTTCTTGTTTCAGTGTGATTTTATACTGCTGCCACAGAAGATTAATTTTCCACATCCTTACCAGAGGTGTCAATAATGTGGCCAGCATTGCAGGAAGAGAGGGAATAAAAAAACTATTGAAAGACGATTTTATATTCTCACAGGAAATCCAAGTTTGAGCAACACTATTAGAAATGACCAGTGTTGAATAAACAAGGCCATTATACATAATTTAGTACCCACCCTGAGGGTGATGCGTGAAGGAAATCTTAAAAAAAAAAGGGGGTTGGGTGGGCACATTTTCAAAACATGTGTTGTTTATTTCCTGAAGCACACATCCAGTATCGAGATGAATAAATAAAAGAACTCCAGTACCTTGAATAATATAATATCAGCAGGCATGGCTAATGAGTCGTCCCAAGGCAAGAAGTCAACCGAGGGAGAGCGTCTGTAAGAGGCAGACGATAGGGCATGTTTCTTATAGAAAAGATGTGAAATGAAAAAAGTTAGCAGAACTGAAGCAGAAAATTTAAAAACAAGCATCTTGAAAAAAAAATGCATTTTCAACAGAAGATCCACATTTTTACAAATGAACGGGCCAACGAAGCCCACTGAGGAGCTTGAGACGGAGAGCAACAACCTTTACAGCAGGGAATATAAGTATTATGGAATAGATAATAAGTAAATAGGTCTGTAATTAGACTGTTCAAATGGATATTACAATAGAAATATACACATACAAAGAAGCCAGCACAAATTAGTCAATCTTGGAGAACTCGTAGAAAGTGTAAAATAGCTCTTTTTTTTTTTTGCTTTAAGACCTTTTTATTTGCATTACTCAGAATCAACCTATTATTCTGTCTTGAAACAATTGGAGAAATTTTCTTTGTTTTTATTTGATTTACTTTTTAGAAAAACAGATTCTATTCAAGTTACTGACTACAGTAGTTCCTTGTGGACCTATCAATAGAATTATTTTTCTTCTCTGAAACCCGCTGAGAGTTATCATGGCAGAGTGTCTTGGACGGATGCCTTTCTACAAAAAAAAAAAAAATAAATAAATAAATGACTTTCTTTTCTTCTTAAATTTTTTTTACAAAGAACCCGAATGCTGAAAGAAAGTTTCATACCATAATAATTTCACCTATATTTTCCTCATACAAATGTGTTGTAAAAGAATCAAAAGAGTTTCATTTTGGCTTATCTGACAAGACTACACTCTAGGGGCTTTTCTAAATGTTTTGCTACAAACTTTAAAGGAGAATGAACATGATTTTTGTTCAGCACTAAGTGCAAACACTTACAGACCATTGTATTTAAGTGCATTACTTACAGTTTTGGTCAAGAAGAATTTAATGCACCAATCCCAAGTCCTTTGGAATAAATCTCGGAATGGTGTCTTGCATGTGGGCAACTCTTTTAGTTATTTTTTCATTCTATTTTCTTAAAATCTTGAATAGTGTGTGGTTATTACTAGTGTTGCACCAATACCAATACCAGTATCGGGCGGGGCCACGATCCAGCTATCGGTATCTGCGAGTACCAAAAAATAGGGCACCGATACCCTTTTGAGAGCCAAAAGATTATTCACCTATTGTCACCACTTCCAGGTAGGCAATAAAAAGTTCTACTGGATTCACTTTGTATTAGTATTTTTTCCTGCTTCACAAAGGTAGGCAGCAGCTTGACAAAACCATGATGGCAATTATTTTACATCGAAGTAGTATGCAGTTCTTCAGATATACACACACATAAATTTCAGATGGTATACTGCTCAGCCAGGTATCGGGTATCAGTATCGGGGCCAAAAAATGGCATTGGCGCAACACTAGTTATTACTGTTTGCCTCTTTAAGTAGATGTACCCAACATTCATCAGTTCAGAGATAAGCCAATAACTATTTTAACCAACAATACATGAAAAGGTCTAAACAGAGCTATTTGCTTTCACCTAACACAAGATCTTCCTATTTATTTTCTTGGAAAAAAGACAGCTTCTGCTTTTTACAGCGGAAATTTGTTTTGTTTTCTTTGTATGTTTTAACTGCTTGGATTGTTACCAACATCTTGACTAATTTGAAGCTCATGTGTCCATTATAAATTAAATTACTGATATCTTTTTGACCAGCGTTAATACTTATTTTCCCTGCTATATGTCATTGATACTTGAAAAATATGTACTTTACAGTATTTTTTATTTTCTCAGTGTCTTTATACAGAGTATATTCATATAGTTTCTGCTGACTATTTTCACATTCTCACCACAGAGTAACAAGTGCTTTGAGTAAAACATTTGAGGAAAAAAACAAAAAATAAAACAAAAACCAAAGAAAAAAACATGCACCTTTAAATATTTTGTTGGTCTAAAAAAAAAAAAAATAGGAAAAAAAAACAAACAGGAATGTTCAAGGCGACCAGAAGAATCGTTCTGAGGCGTCTTTATTTCCGAGTCAAATGAGTTCCCCTCGATTAACGATGTCCGACTAATCGAATCATGCCTACGTTAAGCTTTACACCGTGGAGTTAGCAACACAAAACCATACAAGGGGCAGGCAAGCGTCTCAACACAAAGGCTGCTAAACCTCCTGAGTCCACAGAAGAAAGGCAGGCATTCTCCAATAAATTATAAAACCCCGATGTGTATAAAAATGTTGCTGTGTTGAAGGGATGCTAGTGAACTGAGCAGGCTCTTGCAGAAGAGGGGATCCAACCCTCCTTTTACAACTTTTTTAATTCAATGGGTTATGAAATCTGGTAGTCCAGATAGTCCGCCCTGTGATGCATCTTCCCCTCCTGGGACAGGCTGCTGGGGCCGTTTGCATGTTCTGCGAATGGGTGAGGAGGAAACAGACGGGCAGGGCTGGTTTGAGGAGCGCAGGAGGGGCGACGGGGAAACGACAGATCGCGTCCCCGTTGTACTGCGCGAACAGCAACCAATCCTGAGATAGCAGGAGTCTGGTACAAAAACACACCACAAAAGGCACTTTATAAAATGACAGTGCTTCTGTTCTAAGGAAATTCAAGTTGACAGAGTTAAAGAGAGAGTCTGTGAGTGCCCCTCCCCCTCCCCTCCCTAAATAAAAACATTCTCTTCAGTGTCAGACTAAAGCAGGAGATAGTTTTGTTTTAACAATCAATCAAAGCACAAATTCACTACTTTTGTGTCTCGCGGACACCTTGATTCGTCCCTGGAGGAATCCAGGTCCAGCGCGGCGAGAGAGCAGAAAAAAAGAAGAAAAAAAAAAAATCAAAATGTCACACTACAAACTCGGCACTAAAACCATAAAGCCAGAATACAGTTGCATTGCAGCAGAGTTCTTGTCTGCGGGCTCGACCAACTACTGCAGCCCGTGGAAAGGGTCCATTCCTCTTAGGTCTCCTCATGTTGTCAGACACTGCCTGTGTTTTACATCCTTTCATTCTATCCCAACTCTCCTGACCCCTGCCACAGCCCCCGGCCCCGCACTGCCTGCGTTCTGCGCTCAGTCGTCCTCTCCTCCCCCGTAGAGGTCTGCCAGCTTCTTAAAGCGAGGACCCCAGTCGTTGAGGTAGTCGTAGTCCTGATCCTCTGAGCTGGTGGAGTTGAGCGAGCTGACAGAACCTGCAGTAGAGCCGCTGCCCTCATAGTCGAACACCAGCAGGGAGTCATATGGAGGGGCAGTGGGATCGTTGTCAGCTGCCCTCAGGCCCTAAATACAGAAAGGAAAGGAATAATGTAATGAATTATGTAAGATCAAAACCTGTTTAAAAAAAAAAAAGCTTGATTCAATCATTAGGAATCTTTCTCTGGTCAATCAAAAGTTTTGAGTTTTGGTTCAGGAAACTACTGTGTATCGAAGCATTTATTTATTCCACACCATGGAGCATTTTAGGAAACATTTCTATCACAAACCCATTCATATTAGGAGAGTCTAACTTCCCTTTGGTCCTTTTTTAAATCAGAAAAATAGAGTAATTCGATATAGCTGTGACCTTTCTAAGATATAGCTGGCAGTGCGTGACAACGTGTCTATTGCACCATCGATGTAATAAATGCGCAGAAACTGTGAGTCCAGATTCTCCCCACGAAAGCTCAGTAAAGCGCTGCAGCTGTTAGATGACAAAAATAATTTATTATTTTTTTCACCTGCGCTTTGGTCTGAAATTATTTCTAGGTGTTGTTTAGGCTTTTAAATTCTGCAGCTGTCTAGTTGCAAAAACAATATTTAAAAATTTGCAAATTTTCAATCATACTTCCTCGACCCTTAGAACCAGCATGGGCCTGTGACTCCCACGAGTCAGGGGCGTAGCAGAGGCGGGCTGACTTCTATCCTCCTGGCTGCATATGTGCTTTCAAACAACACATAGCAACAGCCTAAAAGCACTTTAATTCCACTTTAAAGTGTTTTTCAAAGATACTTATGGTTCCTGTTGAGGCATTCCGGGTTTTCTATCCACAGGGTTTCCGACATTTTCTTCATGTCAAACTTACATACTTCTCTAGACTCAAATCTCTAAAATCACTCAGTCCATTAAGCCATTATTTAAAGTTTACATACAAAAATGCACTTAAAAATTAAAATGAGACTTGCTAAAACCAATGTGAGGGAAAGAAGGAAGGAAGGAAGGAAGGAAGGAAGGAAGGAAGCAAGGACGAACAAACAAACAAAAGAAAGAAAGGAAGAAAGAAAGAAAGGAAGAAAGAAAGAACAAACGAAAAAGAAAATACTAAATTTAAACACCCAACTGCATAAGAACCCCAGAGTAAGAACCATTTTCTGCTCATAAAACAAAACCTGGAAGCATTTTCTTCTGGGAAAAAAATTGGTGTTTTTCCACTAACAATATAACCATATAGGTGGAAAAGCAGCTTGAGTTATTATAGACTTTACAATACGCTCTTCTTGTGTGGCTCACCCACTGGGAAGTTTTTTAATGATACTTCATAGACTGAAAACTGACTGAGAGGCAGACACTCATCCATGGAGGGAAAAAAAACCTTTCTACCAGGACTGATGCTTGCATGCAGATTCTTCTCACAACCAAAGAAAACTATTGCTTAAAGTCATAAAATACTTAATAAGACAATTATTTGTAGCAAAAATCAAGAGTCCACCATAAAACGTTGAGTGCCCACCATATGCTGTGTTGATTCTTCCCTTTGTGGACTTCAGCAATGATTTGTCATTCTGTGTTTTCTTGCTCATTGTTTTATTATTCATTTTGTGTCATTCTAGTTGCTTTCTTGTCACATCCAAGCAGTGTTGTATTTTTTGAGTTACTCTCTGTTGCCCCCTTTTGCCAGTTTCCTTTCCCCTAGCTCCCTTCTAATTACTTCTATCCACACCTGCTCCCAGTTAGCTAATTACCCCAGTCTTTGTTCTATCTCCCATAAATAACCCTCCTCTGCACTTCCTCATTGCTGGATTCTCTTCATTACTTTATTCCATAATATGTTACTTTCAATGGGCATCTACAAGTTATTGATTCCTGAGTTCCTTTCTTCTGGATAATTGCCTCTGTATTATCAACATCTTTATTAAATCTGCAAGAAATCATCTCTGACTCTCCGTCTCTGCATCTGGGTCCTCAACAAACATCCACCAAACCTGACATATACTGTATCTTTAGGAAATGATGCTTATAACTCTCAAGTCATTCTAAAGCAAACTTGCAGGGAAACATTCACTATAAACCTACATCGTTAATGAAGTCTCCTATGTCCCCTGGGTGGGGTACAGTGGGTCTGACTGGGTATTGTGACTCAGCAATCACAGGCCTCTCATCGACCCGGCGCACCCCTGTAGGTTTGTTTATGATGTGGTCCAGAGACTCTGGCTGCTGCAGCTGGCTCAGATCATAGTCCTGGATGAAGCAACCAGAGAGAGAGAAAAATGCAGATTAATAATTGGAATGAGGTTTAGAACCTTCAAAAAAATCCGAAAAATAAAAACAGAGCGCATTGATTTAATAACCATTTTAATATCTATGTAGAGATTACATTGAAATTAATGCAGATGGTTTTAAATCATTTGGTTTCTATGTGGGTTGTTTGCTATTGAAATGTTCTTTCCTAGACCAATAAATAAAAAAAAAGAGGTTGTCATTCAATGTATGATTTATAAATATGCCCATTATATCTCTTTCCAGGTATGTCAGTGAAAACAGGCCTATGAGGACGAAAACCATCTGTTGATTTTGGCATGTGTAGGTGTTGGAAATAAGTGAGAATCAAAATAGCATTTATATGTATAGGTGTCCACCTTAAACTAAGCACTGGAACTAGCTTCTACAGTAACTGTGATTTATGTTTAAAGCTCCTTTCACACCTTGACGATTTAGCCAGCGTATACCTGACATCCCAGAATCTCCTAAAACGCCGGCATATGCTGATTTTTTAATTTGAGTGTATACATAGAGTATTCACAACAAGTCAAGAACTTACAGTACGTCCAGTGACAGCCTAACTTATGCATAACGCACGGCAGCGTAATGCCCTGTTCATTGAAACGTATTTTAAAAAGTTTACATTTGTATTGCTCCATCTTTACTCGGGTGTTTTTTGTGGAGAACATCGCTGAGCATCAAGAACACCAGAGAAGACAAAAATTTTGGATCTCCCTATGGAGGACCAATGCTGCCATATTAAAAAATGCATACAAATAAATGAAGGACTTAATAATATAAAATTGCTAGAATAAGTAGCTAGTAATATGAATTTGTGTGCCATTAAATGTTTACAAGCGGCAAGCTACCTCGTCTAAATTTTGCTAGTCTTGGCCAATAGTTGTGAAGCTTTGCCAGTGACACCGCCACCGCACCCCCTTATCAGTAGCTATTATTAGCTACTTTTTCAAGTAATTTTATATTATTAAGTCCTTCACTTCAGAGTCTGTTCAAAAGATAACTGTTTGACACACACTGGCAAGATAAAATCCACTGTTGTAAGAAAACCACAAGAAGCCCCATTCAGAGTTGACAAAAACAACCAACAGAAGATGGAACTCTGATCAGTTCACTAAAATTACACTTGGTGTTCTACATGCAAAACGCTAAGGGCCTCATATTTATAGATTACACATAAGAGCCGCTAAATTACACATGCAATTTTATTGTACGAGTGATAAATGGTCGTGATGGTGATTAACAAGCACCAATTTTGTGTCCTATAGGAATTTGCTCTTAAAAGAAACATGAGATTCCAATAATAACAATATCTTAAAAAATTGTATCATTTTAATATTTATGGTGTACATTATTGCCTATCTCAAAGTGTTATTGGCAAAAGTAAATCAAGGTAGCAACCCCCGCCTGCTGTCTCTGTTGATCTGCATGTTGCTGAAGGCACACATGCAAGTTGTGTGTATACGTACTGCTAAATTGCACACTCATATTACTCTGCACCTTCTCTGAAGATCTGCTCTACACACGCAAACCTCATTGCATCTGTTTTCAAGATGGAAATCTCCTGAATATCAGGCCCTAAGTGTGGCAATAAACTAACCCTGAACATATCATCCTCATGGCAGAATATGAAAGTGGCAGCATCTTTTTGTGGGGAAGTTTTTTTTCAGCAGACAGGAAGCTTGATGATTGACAGTCTTGTCATATCCTGTTTAAAATTGGCCATCTTTCACATACAGCATGTACGTGGAAGATGTAACTCTGGTCAGATGACTCCGAACTTAATCTAAACTCAAAACATTATGTGTATTAGATTGACAGGAGAGTAAAAATATACAGAAAAGGGTCTGGAGCCAGAAGACAAATCAGCAAGGACTGCTGCCCTACGGACTAACAGCTTCTGTACGTAGGGCGTCTACTGTACCCATTAAGCCATCAGGGTACTAACAAAAATCCACTATTTAGGGATCTTCAATACAAAGATGATCAAAGCATGAGTAAATATTCTTAAAATACGTCTATTTACTCATTGAGTAGGTAAATGTGTTCTGCCAGTGGGATGAGTATGTCCTATCCTTAGAATAAGATATAATGTGCACTTGAAATATGAGAAACATTTTAATTTAAGAAAAAATGCACTTATTTTAGGAAAAATTACTTGTGTTAAAATTTTTTTCTGTGTGACAAGACATGAATGCATAGTCAGAGATTCTCCCCATTCAGTTTTCAAGTGAGTCTGAGGTAGTGCAAACATTGTTTTTTTAATTTAGTTGTGCTTCTTGTAAAATCTCCCCAAAAACTTAATTTGTGGTTGTAATGCAGGAAAAGATGGAAAACTTAACGTTCTTTGAATATTTTACACACAAAAAAATAAATAAATAAAAAAAGATTTGTTGTTTTTAGACTTTATTTCTTTTTCACTGTCATATTGTGGGATCTTTACACTTCTATCACATTCATTTTATTTCTTCAAGCTGCTGTTTGCCAGCACCTCGGCGCTGACCTTGAAAATAGCAAAAGTATTTTTTTTTCCTTTTACATAAGAGTCTTTTTAAACCTGTACGGCAAATCAGAACTAATAAGATAAGGTTTGTTTGAAGCAAAAACATGGTGTTTATTCTGCTTGAAGAAATCAGCAGGAATCTGAGGATTGTCAGTGCCTTTTCTTCTAAGAACCAAATGGCTGTTGGTTCATGCTGAGCTACCAGGAATACTGCCAATATGGATCATGATCAAAACCTTTAAACAGACAGAACAGCGCTATAATTAGCCCTACACCAGAAGACAAAGCTTTTGTGAAAAGTTTGAAGGTTTTACATAGTTCCAAGAGATAAGAGCAAAGACACTTTATGAAATAATTTGAAAAGCCTTTGGGCCCACTGCTGTGAAACATCTCTGTATGTGAAAGCTGTTTTGTGACAGTCATTAAGGTCATGAATCTTTCAAACACTCTTTAAATGGCTCATTATGTAAGATTTATTCTATAACATTTTATTAGATTTTCAGAGTTGTTTCGATAGGTATGTAGACCAAAGCAGATAAAGGCTAAGTGTGTTCATGCATGCTGACCTACAGCAACAGCTTTTTATGATATTCAACAACAGTTCATATTTGTTTAATCTGCTCTTCTGTGACAGGTTGGAAATGTGTACGGCTGTGTCCAAAAAGAGCATTGATAAAAGCAGATCATATGTGGGAAAAATTTGTAATTTTAACTTAAGGGGACACTTTGTTTATTACTCTGTCACATAGGACCGGCTTGTTTTCTTTTTCCCTTCACAATTGAAATGTAAACTTAAAGAGGAACGCTTTTTTTTTTTTTACATTGGCCCCTTGATTTTACATTATTACATCATGTTCTACTCACCCATATTAGTTTTGTTTCATTTGGAGCTGTTCTAGAGATATTCCGTTTTGTAATCCAAGTAACGTCTTCCTATGGGCAACGACTTGAAGGCACAAACGAAACTATTCATAATTTATTCTGTATGGTACACCAGCAATCATAACGTAGGCGAATCACTGTCCCCCAGACATCCGTGGTTGTATTTTTTATATTTATATATTTTTTAAACAAAGCGGAGTGTGTATGACGTCATCCGCGTGCGCCGGCTACCGTTCATTCATCCTGTCCACTGAACTGCTGCTAGTTTCACTCACATGCCTGAAAGATGTCTAGTGCTGCTACCACAGATGATCTCGCTCTCGAAATGGAATTGAACGAATCAGATTAGCTAGCAGAATGAATGGAAGGGAGAGAGAGAGAGAGTAGCAGCCTGTGGCCCGGGCTGCCTCTCACAAATCCTGTCCGGCGCGCGGATATATATAAATATATAGTTCTCAGCTTTCAAATTCTTGTTGCTATTGTAAATAAAATATTAAAACTCAGTGCTTTGTGTGATTCTGCATGTGTGTAAAGAAAAAAACTACAAACCCACATGACTGCAGTTTATTTTCCCATGTGCAGCAGTGAATCTATGATTAACACTGTTTCTTCCTTGGACCACTATTGGTGGTCATTGCAGACCTGGTATATCCCAAGATAGCAACAGTTTGGTTTTGTGGTGCTGTGACACAGTTGTCTAGCCAGTTAAGCTCTGTTAAAATCTTTATTCATGTCCGTTTTATTCCTGCTTCTAACAAAAAACATTGAGAACAAACCAATCGTTTGCTGCCCAAGTCATCCCATGAACTAACAGACATATATCTATGGCTTATAATAAGTAGTAATCTAACATACCTGGTCTTCCTCTCCTCCTCCCTCTTCATCGTACTTCAGGATATTGTCCCTAACGTCGTCTTCAGGGTCAATCAGCAGGGGCTTTGCTTGTCGTTCCTTCTCTCTGCGCTTCATCCACACCACAAACAGCAGAACCATACCTGCCGTACAAAAAGAACAGCCAAACTGTACATTCTCTTGAGTTTATTTAAACACAGTCATTAACTCAGATTGTCATTAGAAACTTGCATCGGCTGGCATTTTTTCCACTCACTCAACAGTATGATGATGCAGATGAGGATGGCAATGATGGCTCCAGTGCCGAGACCAGCAGCTGCCACGGCTCCTGTTGCACTACAGTCCCCATTGTTGTCACAGGGACACACTTTGATCCTGATCAGAGAGCGGTTGGACAGAGGAGGGTTCCCCGAGTCAGACACTATGACTGGGATCCCATACACACCGGCCTCCAGGTAAGGGATCCTTAGCCTTAGCTGAGCGTAGTCACCTAAAGATGTCAGACAGAAAAGATGGGTGAATAGAAAGATTAAATAAAACAAATAGCAGCTGTAAACAACCTTTTCTTGACATCATGTGCTTGGGTGTACTGCTTCAAACTGTTTTAAAACAAACAGTCATTCTGACATGTATGACTGAAGGCAGAAAAAAAATAAACATCTAAAACTATGGTGTCTAACCTTCAGCATCTATCACTCAGTGGAAGACAAGAGCCTCGTTGGGAGTCGGATTCAGGTATGTGATCAGATTTGTCCTCAAGACAGTTGCTGTGATACATCCATCCTGTTGGATTAGGTGACAGATCGGCTGCTCGGGGGACCGAGAGACGAATGGATCTCATTTGTCACAAATGATAGATCATACGTCAACACTGGATAGCACCCTTGCTTCTCACTGGGAGCTTTTTGAGACATTTTGTTAAACCTGGACTTCCCTCCCTCACATCTTAGAGCTGTCCCCTGTGTTTTAAAGATTAATACGACCAGATTTTGCAGAGGGGATCTTGCCCTCATCAGGCTTATGGTTTCAATTTACTGAGGATTTAGACTGTCCATCTTTCATTCTGGCTTGCCTGAATATCCCAAGGGTCCATTTTACAATGATGTAGTCTTAAACACAATGTACAGCATTTAATTACCATTCAGTCTGGAAATGGTCCAGTTGCGACGGATGCTTGGAGGAAACGAAGGCAGCTCAAACACAAAAGGCCCGACATTAGGCTCGGCATCAGCATCCGAAGCTGTGATGTTGATTCTGGAGTTGGGACGGGCACGCTCGCAAATTTGGGCCTCCTTCGGTATTAGCACAGGCGCATTGTCATTGACATCAATCAGGTAAATTTGGAGGGTACCAGTCCCACTGGCCTGAGGCGAACCTGTGGGAAGGAAGAAGACAGGAGAGGCAAAGACATCAACAAAGAGGAGATGGTGAGCCAAAAGCATGCAGAGTAGAGACTGAATAGTTCACATGTGATGATGGGAAACTGAGAAAGAAGCATCCTTTTGTGATGCATAGTCGTAGCTGAGTCATTCGTGGAACTGAGAAAACACACAAGGAAGGAAACAATGGGGAAGACAATGTGTTGTGTCTGTCTTGTGAGTGAAAATAAAGCGAAATGCAGGGAATCCAAACACAGAACAAATGGGTTTACACAATAAGCAGATGTTCCCCTCCTTGCCTTTATAATTGCCCTGAAAATTTGAACTTTCATACTCAGTGAGACATACTGGAGTGGGACAATGCTCTCATAAAAATGTTATCTGTTCCTTGCATAAAGACAAACCTCTAAAAGATAGCTCATCATTATAAACTGGTTTTTAACGCCCGGTCAGAGTAGGATCAGTTTATTACAGTTTTTGATGGTAACAGAAAAAAAGTGCTCTTTCATGGTATAAGAACACATTTTTGCTTATAATTGAGGAATAAAAGCCTCTGGCTTCTTTCCATTTGGTGAAACTTCAAAGCAGCAAAGACAGGCTGAATGCTACTGTGAAGGTAAATATTTTACTCATGAAATGAAATGGGAAAAAAGAGTGTTTACAGCCAACTGTAACCAGATTGGTACAGGCCAGGGGTCAGAAGCAGGGCCTGGCTTCAACTTGTTTGCAGGAGTCAGAGAAATGAAAAAAAAAAAATGCTGTGTATACAATCTTAGTATAAAGGGTAATGAAATCTATGATTGCTGAATTGTTTTTTTCTGCTGTTGTGAAAATACTTCTTGCCAGTAAATATCAAACTGATGGCAAGACTCTGTTTCCAGTTACATAGTGGGGCATTTGTAAGGACCATGCTTTGGTGTGTTGAGTAGGAGAGTTGGGTATACAAGTTGCTCCCATAAAGAACCAAATCCTCTTTGCAAATGCCAAACAGATTTTGGTGGAGGAAATGTGATGGTGTGGGATGGCCTCTCCCTATCTACTGTAAAGGCAGAGAGTAATTAAGATCAGATAAAGCTAATATGGCTTTTCTCAGAAATTCAGCTCTAATAGATAGATGCTTGCCACCTATAGGATTGCCAGAGTCAACAAAAGCCTCTGGTATTATTCAGGCTGAATTTTTTTTTTTGGTCAAATTGGTAAAGCCAATTTAAATCTGCTGCCCTTCTTCATTAAACCATTCTTTTAAATATACTCTAAACATTTTCATGGAGTTAATGTGATAATCTTTCAAGAAGAATATTGTTGTTGTGGTAACCATTCAAAACTAGTTTTGATGTGTTTTAGGTTACAATCCTGTTGGCCAAAACAATTGTGCTTAACCCTTTATAGGGCACTCAGTGAAATACTTTGAAAATCAAACTGTATTACCTTTGGAACATTGAACTTAGTAAAACGAAACACCAACTTGCCCAAATATTAAGAAAAATAACAAATGTGCTTTTATAAGAAATTCATGAAAAAGAAACAAATTTTTTTTGGTATAATATAACCTTAAGGGCCTTAATGCTGATACCAGCACTTAAATTTTGTAGTTTATAAACCTAAATATAAGTAAGGGCAAGTGATCTGAAAACAGTAACTTGCCTTATAAAGGGTTAAAGGTATAGTGGAGGATGTTCTTTCTCCCGGTGGATCATCATAATAACCGGTCTTGTCAATCATTCTGGTGATATGTTTAAGTAAGGCTGTTCTACAGTATGTGCTCTTCCCCATTGTCTCTTCCCGGTGGTGAGTCTGACATAGTGGAAAAATTGCAATTATTTTTTTGGAAATAAGCTTGTATGAGTGATGCAAACAGTAACTTTAAAATTGAGCATGCACAAGGAGAAATGGGCTTGTGCATGCTCTAACATTCGTTTAATAGGTGTTTCCTCTTGGGAGCAGTTACAGGGTTGTGCATGTGCATTTTTTTCTAAATTGAAGAGGGTGGGTATTTTCAAAAATTAGCAAAGATCATCCACAATACCTTTAAGTTTCAACCATCTAACTCTAAATATTACTTTATTACAAAGAAACATGGTGAGGATACTAGAGAACTACTGATGAACCACTGAAGTTTAATCATTTCAGGAGAAAAGAGAACGATTGAAGGTGAGGCTTTCAAACATGAGAGCACTGCATCAACTGTAAGTCATGGCGGTTCTGGCATCATTGTATAGGGATGTTTTTCAGTTGGGATGGTGGTACATTACACAAAGTAGCTAGACAAATGAAAACTGTAAGGCTGCTTCAGAATTCTTCAACTTTACCACAAATCACCTACTAGTTGAGGGAAACTTTAAGAATGACCACAAATCAGAACCGGTTTTGATAAACTATAGAGAGGCATTTTTACTACATTTAAAAGCTGGGTTAGATTCAGTTCACCAACACATTTCAATGTGCATAGACAAATACTTTGCCTTTTAGTGAAACTCCACAAACCACATGTTCATGTAAAAATAAGTGATATAAGCCAAGCATTAATTTTAAACCCAGATACAGAATGTGTCCACATAGAACATAATGACACCAAAAGGTCATGATATTAGATAATTGTTTCATTTTACTGCACATACTCAGGAAAACATACTAACAATAGGTTGCATGTGGGTCCACATATAACAGATTAAATCTATACAGTACAGGGTGAAAACTGGACAAAAGTAAGTTACGTGTACAGTGCTGTCTGCTCTGAACCCAGGATGAGGTAAGATGGACTGAAGCAGAGTTAAACACACTTGTCTCATTGATCCAGATGAAAAATTCTGCCTGGATGTCCAGGATGCTACATGTATGCCCTCCAGGCTGAAGAGGAGCAGGATAGTCCAGCTCGTTATCACCTTAAAGCCCATATCTGTGTTAACATCACATGTTGGCTCGATATGCAAGTGCTGCTGTACTGGCACCATTACAACAAAATACACAAGTAACAAACACTAAAATCCATGTTTGTGTCTTTTCCATAGAAGACGTTGTATTTTCACATCAAACTGCATCTGCTTTTAAATCTGTTCTTCCCCTTTGCATCGACCTGCCTGTATTTAATCCATGTCCCGGTGCTGAAAATATCTAGGACTTCATCATTTAAATTATAAAAAAGCCAGAAATCACTAAGCACCAGACGCCGTATTTAATAAACATGAATGGACAAAATTTCCCTTTTAAATCTACAACTTTTCTCCTCAGATTCTGCCCCTGGAAAAAAATGATGAACACAAACATCAGCAAAACCTAACCCTATGTAATAAACATGCAATCTACATTTTAATCAGCATTTTAACTTTGAAATAAAAACTTCTTTGATTCAAAAAGTCAATGTTTATAAGGTATAAGGTGCTCTAGTCAATTTTCTTTACAAATGTACAAGTAGAGCTGCAATGGGATATATAAAATTGAACCATATTCAGGTTTTGGGAAAGCACAGACCTTTATCTTATAAACAATAAGCTGGAAGACCAGCGGCTGTAACCAAAAGAACTGGTTGCTTTATATACTATTAGTTCACATGAACAGGACATGAATGCATTACACAAATCCCAGGTCTTAGTTGCTTAACCCTTCAAAGATTATGTCTTTTTGATTCCATGCCCTAATCATGCACACTGCTTTCTGTAAAACTAGTACAAAGGAGAACAGTGAAACGATGCCAAAGTCTGAGGTTGATACATGACAAAATATAAGAGGTGAAATGCATATTACTACAGTACATTTAAAATGCATTGTGCATACGCTGCACCGCTGAACAAACAGTGATATGTTGTGGCCTTGACTTTTTGTTGACAGCTTCTTCCGACCACTATGTCAGCAGGCTGATCTAAATTCCCAATGAGGTGCAGCACAGCGTACTCCAGCATCTCATCAATGTTGTACATGAACTTCTCTCCACTGCACACTGTAGCTTGGTGAATCAAGTAAGCAAAGGTCCACTGCCCCAAACCCCAAGGCCCATCGACTGTCTTGTCAGTTATGATTGGCTGGGTGCTTTGTTGCCTCTCACGCTTCGCCTGAGTAGAATAAGTGAAGAGAATTTCAATCAAAGTTGAAAATATCCCCTTGTTGACACTGGTGTCCAGAATCAATAGGCAGTCAGCAGTTTAAGCTGAGCTCGGGGCGTCAAATCCCTTATTTCTCAGCAGAGAAGAAAAGAAAACACCTGGTGCCCCTCCCACTTTAACAGAGAACGAGTTCCTTGGTTTGTGGTGCTTTAGTTATTTGTCTTCATACAGATCTGCAGTGAGGTTGACACCAAGGACTTTCACCAGTAGATAATGTTGCTTTTTTTCCATTTCTGACATAAATGCTGGATGTTCAGGTTTGTATGAAATCCATGGAAAACATACAGTCTTCATGCATACTGATATATTACAACCACAAGAGACGACAAGCAATGAGTCATTGGGACTTTTATGTGTTTAGTTAAAACAAAGTATTGTTCAGTTGTCCAATTTATGAAAAATAACATTTGAAAAGATCTGAAAAGCATTTGTGGTCAGCACCCCCTGAGTCTGTACTCTGTAGATCCAGCTATGACTGCAATTATAGGTACACATTTTATGAAGTATGCCTCTGCAGCCTAGAGTCAAGAAACATACTTTTTTGCATATTTTTCTCACTAGAATCGACTGGATAAAAAGCCTTTTTAAAATATCTGTAAGGGTGTTTAGGGATGTGTTCATTTCCAGGTACAGTGCTTAGGCGCTTATTACCTAAACCTATGCTTTAAAAAAAAAAAAAAAGTATCTATAATTGACGTGGAATCCTCATTATTTTCTTTAAACAATGTTGTCTTCTTTTCATTCTGTGAGTTAGTTCGGATAAAAACACAGATCATGCTTAACCTATTGACATATTCTTGCACGTGGGCTCACGATCCATAGCATAGACCCGCTGGTTGAAAAATGCCCTCCTTTTTCCTCTAAGTTTTAGGTCGATGGCCATGCCTATGTAGGTTTCC